AGAAATAAGTAAGCAAGTACATTTCAGATGGTCATTAATTAAATTGAACCTACTTCTTTCAATTGAAATCACTGTGTTGTCTGTGTATTTATGTACCTATGTTGTTTCCCATGGTCCATTGTAATAAGCAACTGTGAAAATGAAGTATTGTGAGAGACTTTCCAAATTATATTGACAAGTACAAAGAACAGTGATTAAAAGTCCATTATCTTTCATTGCAAAGTTCACTGTGATGTTTGTCATTGTATAAACAATATTTTAATGCCTTGCACCTGATTTTGTGGAGTTTTTGAAAATAAAATTAAAGCCCGTCACATGTATTGATGTTTTTTTTGTTTCCACTCATGATCTATCTTCATCAGACAAACTATCATTTCTGGTTAGTGTAGCCCATGTACTCATATATCAAACATTTTTTAACATTCCTTTTTTTATTTTTGTTAAAAATCACTTTTTTGTTAACCTGTATGTCTTGCTGTCTAGGATTGGCCTGAAGTTAAAGAAGAATTGCAGAATGGTAAGAATTATAAATCTCATGTTTTATTCAACAGTCCAAGATGTATGCATAATGTACACCCACTCCCCAGATTACATGAGGATTCCTGCAAATCTTTATGTAAATCAAATTTACGTAACTTTCCAGACACCCTTTCTTAGGTGTGCATAGACACATATAATCAAGTAATCAAGGGATGTTTACTAAGTTGTGCTGGTTGTGGGACACGCTACGTATTTCTATCTTGCTAAGAGAGCTTGCTATTCTGTAGGTTTTAGGGAACTTGGAGTTCCTGAGTGAAGAATCCTTGGTTTAAAAAAGCCTCTTACTTAACGGCTGCATTTTAGAATAGAATAATTTAACCAAGTGTGCCTGAATTATTTTCACCAAATCTGTGGCACCAAACAAAAGAATTCACATGCCTCTAATTATACCAACCGCTTGGGTATATTCTTGGAGAAATCCTTACAAGTTGGGAGGTTATGATTATTTTACTTGTTGAGAAATCTGCTTGATCATTTCCTGATATTTCGCTGTTTGTGTAAAACCAGATTTGTAACAACATTTTTATTTCTAAATACTGTACATTTGATCATATCAATATATAGATTTAATAAAATCACTTTTTTGACATGACTGCAGTATGGATTTCTCATAAGTTTAAAAGAAAAAACACAAGATGAGATGAGAAATGTGAAAGCAAAGCACACCTAATGATGTAACCTAATGTCGTCCTGGTGTTTACTAGTGGTGACTGCATTATATTAAGCTATTCATCCGCAGATGTAATTTGTTGCACTGCTTATTCTTTAAACATTTAACATAAACTCTTCATTCCTATAATTTCTTACTATGGGACCAAGGGAGGTTTTTAGGGAAAGGTGAATTTAAATACGTTTTTAGTCTTGTGTGTCCTGGGGTGTAGGTGTAGATTGCTTCAATGCAGACTTCAGATTTATTTGCTTGTTTTCCTGCACTGTTTCATAACTTTTAAAATATTTGTTTACAAACAGGTTCAGTTTTGCCCTTGGAAACAGAAAACATTTTAGGTGAAGGTAGAAGCAGTGCTCAGGTAAGTTACACATATGCCACCTTAACATATTAAAACATGTTTTTCATTCTCTCCTTAACCTTCAGGAGCCCAAATCATGTTTCAGGTACTGCACCTCTTATGTATCAGCTGGTTGATGGGTCTTAGTGCTGAGTCTGTCAGTTCCTTGTTTAAGTTTTTAGAGCAAGGCTCCAAGAGTGACCCTGATCCTCTGATTAAGAGTGTGCTGAGATTCCCAGGCCATGTTTGCATAAACTTGTTAATGAGTGTTGAATATGAGCTGTGTTTATCTTCACGGTGATATTGACCAGTGTGCTCAGCTGTTATGACCAGCAGCTTTAATCTATAGGGACCATTAAGAAGGTTACATTTAAAAGTTATTTATCCATTAGACCTTGAGCATAAAATCCATAAAAACTTGTTTTTACATTTAATTATTTAGTTAGTACCTAAATTGAGAACCACTGATGTTTTCCTTGATCTGGCCAGTAGTTAGGGAGCTTCATCTAAAGAAAGATTAACTAGCTGCTTACCATTTTCATATGCATGTATTGGTCATAAAATCAAAGTTGTCTCAAATTGCTTAATTTAGTGAGAGATATGCGTCTTCCTGGCATTGAAAAATAAGATGGGGGTTATTAAACACATGGATTTGCTAAAAAAAATATTTATTAAAAATACATTGTTTTGAGTTTTTAAAGTGGTCAATATAATAGTCTGAGATAATACCAGGGCTGCTTTGTGACCCCTAGTGCCGTGTGACATGGTCACCATGAAATGCAATAAATGAAGTATTGTGTTTTTTACCTTGCTTTGGGATTTTAAAAGTGTTTTTTTATATTAATGTTTTTTGCCCTCCTATCCTTTTGTCTTTTTCAGGATATGTCCTCTTATGAAGATATTGAAGGTAAATGCATTTTTTTCTTGCATTCAGTATCTCAGACAAAATTTAGTTCACATTTCCCTCTAATGTTTTTAGATGGATATGTGAAAAAAATCAATTAAATTATTTTGTTTTTTTGAGAGTTTACTGGCTAAGCTTACAGAGTGGTGTTGTTATTTATTCTTCATTCCCAAATCATATTCCAGGGATTTAGGGATCCCTTGTAATAACACAGCAGGGAAATTGTGTAGCATCCTTGAAGCTGAAGGATACTCCATAATGACTCTTTTAAAGAATAGCTGTGAGGTGCCTCATTTTTTCTTACCTGGGCCAGTGGAATGATGGCAGTGCAAGATAGTTAGCACAGAAAATAGGGGCCTTTGTATGCTAGATCTGAGCAACCTTTTTCTAAAATTCCCTCAATGCACTCATGTGCTCATCTGAATTATTTTTCAGCTTTCTGTTCAGAATAACATTAGATAATCGATATTCACTGTAATGAACAAAACCAAACATTTTATCACCTTTGATTACGAAATGCCTGTTGCAAAATAGTCTTAAATCCAGTGCAGACCATTGCCAATATACAGTAAATGGTACTAACACAGGACAAATACTAAAATGGCAGTTTTTGCTGCTGAGAACTGAGCAGTCACATATTGACAGGAGAAGCCCCAGCAGTCTGGGGCACTAATTTTAATTTTTGCACATTATCTTCTTGCCCCTGGATAATATCAAGTGTCTCTATTCCTAAAAGTCTCTTTTCTTGGAGTGTAAAACTTTTAATTTTGAAACATCTGTATTAAAAATGTCATTTTTTTAAATACATGTTCAGGTGCATCAACACAAGGTTCATTAAGACGTGACATGACAGATGAGAACGGTGAATCCAGCAGCCTCTCAAGTAGCCATGCAAACGGGTCCAGGGAGGATGCAGAGCTGCAGTCAAGCACCAGTGATAGTGCGATGATCAATCTGTATTCCCAGCTGATGTCCCGGATGAGCAGTGCCTTCCACAGAAAACACACCGCAGAGGCTGCATTTAGTGTAGTGAAGTCCTATAGGAAGCGCTTGTGGAATGCCAACAGGTCCATGTTAGACACTACTTTCAGTTTCAACCGCAAAGAGAAATCAAAAAAGGACTCAAAGAACAAATCCAGCAATTCAAAGCTTGTACGGTTTTCTAAATCCAGCCAATGTGCAGTGCAGAGCAGTCCAGAGCAATCAGACGTGAGGAGCAATAGGACCTTCATTATTTCTGCTTCTGCCAATCATACAAGACAGTCACTCACTGTGGGTAGGAAGAGCCCTTTAAGTAAGCCAAGACAAGAGTTGCAAATGTCTCCTGCTGCAAAATCTGTTAAGGGCAAACAAAGTGAATCCCAGACAACAAGTTTTTTAGTTTACTTTCCAAGAGCTAATTCTGCAACATACTGGAAAGATTGCATGAGTAAATATATGGATGTCATGAGACCAGGCACGTTTCATCAGAGGTCTCTTTCTTCTGAACAGAACAGAATCAGCTGCCCTCCACCACTGCACCCAGCTGTTTTTTCACCCAAAAAGCCTGCTATTAGTGCCAGCAGCTCTGATTCTCCCAAGATGGACAGTAATGTCAGTATGAATCAAATACAGAAACGGGGATTTAAAAAGGCCATGAAGTCCAAAGTCAGCAGTTCAGAGATGGTGTTTTATCCCAGATCCAGTCATCCTGCTCGTCTGTTGAATGAAGAATCTATATCTGACTGCAACTCTCTAGAGCAATCAGACGTGAGGCCTTTTTCTACAACATATATTGTTTCTTCTAATGCCAGTTACTCAAGAAGACCTCTCTTTCTGGGTGAGAAGAGCCCTTTAAGTAAGCAGAGTGTCATTCCTCTGCGATCTCCTCATTCCATTCAAGAAGGGGTCGCATCTGTACAGCCACAGCTCCCACGTACTCTTGTGTCGGAAAAGCACAGTGTTGTTACATCCATTGGCTGCAGTTTGCCGAAGTCAGAAGATTACAGTACTGTGACTCCAAAACAGAAATATAGATATGAAAGGGCTGTTAAGACTGATAATGGCAGTTCAGAGCTTGTGGGCTCTTTCAGATCCAGTCGTCCTTCTTTGCCATTGAATACAAAATCTGCATCTGACTGCAGCTCTCCAGAGCAGTCAGACATGAGGTCTAGGACCTTCATTATTTCTGCTGATGCCACTCATACAAAACAGTCACTCACTGTGGGTAGGAAGAGCCCTTTAAGTAAGCCAAGACAAGAATTGCAAATGTCTCCTGTTAAGTGCAAACAAGGTGATTCCCAGACAATGGCTTTTTTTATTAGGTCTCCAGAAACTAATGCTGTGACATGCTTGGGAGACTCTGTGTGTGAACATGTAATGGAAGCAGGTGCGTTTCATCAGAGGTCTCTTTCTTCTGAAAAGCAAAACGGCTCTGATTCTCCTAAACTTAAAGGTTACTCCCCTTTGAATCCAATAGAGAAATTGAGATCTAAAAAGGCCATGAGACGCAATAACAGCAGTTCAGAGCTTCTGGGTCCATCTAGAACGAGTCATCCTGTGAATGCAGAATCTATATTTGACTTCGAACAGCCAGACACAAGGGATTCCTCTAGAGCCTACATTTTTTCTTCGAATGCCAGTCAGTCAAGAAGACAACTCCTTGAGGGTGAGAAGGGCCATTATATAAAAGAATTGCGGAGACCAGAGGAGATATCTTTTCTGACTCCTGTTAGAAACAAAAATGGCGGCGGAACCAAGCCAGTGACTTACTACAAGGCTCCTATGGTAGACTTTAAGGATCACTGTAGTGATGGAGTCCATAAGGGTGAGTTTCTTCCAAGGTCTCCTGCCTCACAGCAAGGGATAAGCAGCTCCAAACCACCACTTAATGCTTTTTCAGTTGGAAAGCAGTCGCTGTTCTCCACAGAAGGATATCTAGTCAAGAAAATAAGTGAGGCTAACCAGATTCCTAAGAGGTGTCACTCCTCCTCTTCGGTGTTTCAGCAGAGCAACAGACCAGATATTGAGCCAGAGTTTGAAGATCTCTATCAAAGAATGGTTCTTGGCAAGAGTGGTACTTCATTTTGCACAGAGGGTAACAGAGTACGCGAAAACACCTCTCCTGCCAGCATTCACAATGCCAGAGTGGGGAAAAGGATGGGTGAGTTTGAAGATCATACCTATCCCGAGGCGAAAAGATTCCAAGGGTTGTCTGACACCATTAATCATGAGGGCTCTAGAAGCAATGGGGGAATGTCTCCAATTTCTAGAAGCTCGTACAGTATGTTGCAGCAATATAAGCAGAACTGAAGAGATTCACCAGCAGGACTGGATTCTTTTCAGGTAAGATTATTTTACAGAATGTGTATGAGTACTCATTTGACAAACATTCTTTACGTTAATCTTCTAAAATATTTTTTTTTGCCTTCATGTTAATTTATAGGCAAATAAGGAATTGAACCTACAAATTTCTTTATCAGTAACAAGACATAAAATGGTTATCTTTCTGCCTTTGAAAGAGATATAAGACAATTTGTACAATATTTAGGACTAGACAGAATAACTGAAATATAGCCAATAAACTGATTTTCAGTAATTTTTTGAGAAGATATCTTGTCTAACTCTTTTCTATTGTGACTTCTAGAGAACTGGAAATCTGATGTTTCAGGATGATGTAGAAGGCAAGTCACAACTCCTTCTGATTTTTCTGTTTTATCATCTTCCATTGTGGAATTGTCAGGATGTAGTGAACTCAGTAGCACAATTTATATTGTATGGTACTCTCCTCTGACATGACCAGTGTCTTAGTCCCCTGGTCCTGCAATGGATTACTTCTCGTTTCTTGTACCTAGTGGAGATTTATTCAGCATTTTGAACTGGAATTGACCACTGAAATTTTTGACTAGTCAATCCGAGTTGAATTGCAAGATGATGATTAGGATGATTAGATTAATAACATGGTTTGCTTCATATATACACAAAATCCACCAGCAAGACTGGGAGTTATTTGGTTTATATGAAGATATTCAGTGCTTTTTGCAGCATCCTAACAAATTTAAATTTAGTGTTTGAAGGAAGAGCTAAAAGAACAGTACTAGTGTCTGTTGTTTTTAAACTTGTATTTTAAAAAATGTCCAGCCCTGCCTAGGGAGGCAATATATGGCAAGCCAACAATACAGTATTCAACTCAGGGCTTACAACACCCTTTTTTTGTTTGACCAATTGTGCCTTTCTGCTTGGGGAATCCAGTCACAATTGTCTAGTTTAGCTAGGAAAGAGCTCAAGATCCTTGACTGAGTCAACCAAAATCTGGGAGCTATGCAAATTCAGATGTCTGTAAGTTCAAATAATATTAGTTCTGATTGGCCGTTTCTTTCTCTGAAACAATAAGACCTCAAGTAAAATGTATTTTGTTAACAATTCAGCCTTCTGTCACAGAGCTGAGCAGTTCAAATAGCTCCAGTGTATCAGCCTCTGTATCAAAGCCCAGCCTATTCACATACTGATTATTTTATTTATCAACAGGCTTATTGTTCACAGCCCTGCTGTCTATAAAACTCACAAACTATGGCTTTCATCATTACAATAATGTTCTCAGCACACAGGATTTAGAGGCACATAATGCCCTACTCAGAAGATATTCCTGAAGACTTCTGGAAAAAGTCATTGATGCCTATCAGTCTGTACAACACTATTTTTTAACCTCTGGGACTATACCGATCCACAGATAAGAGACATAGTCTGTAACATAGGTGCTATTTTTGTCACACATATCCTGCAGGGTGACCAGATAGCAGACCTTTTCGTGGGCCACGGTGACTCAGCTGATGAAGAACAGTAGTGATTCTTCTACAGGTTTCCTAAAATTCTGCATTGTTAATGTAAATAAGTTAAAGTAATGCTGTTTTCAAGTTGAGGTTGAAGTTTGAATTTGTTTGCAGACAATATTTGCAGAATAAATTCCAGAATTCGTTTTGGAATGTTGTTTTCACTGTTTGTTGAACAGTAAATGGTCATTTTAAACCATAGTTTGTTGAACAGTTTTTACTTCAAGCTTATTATGCTTGGCTCAGTTGGAAAAAAGGTCATTTTCTATTGTAAAAGTACATGTTTATCCATGTGCAAAAGCTGTTTTCCAGTTTGTAAGGTTTTTGTTGAGGATGTGTACATTTGTATCTTAAATGTGCACAAGAAGTTTAATAAACATCTTCAATTAAAAAGCTTCTGATCATTATTTTGAACAAAAACTATTACTGCTTTATGTTATTGAATTATGTTACTCATGTTTCTGTGTTTAACAAAACTGCACCAACTTTTCTGGTGAACCTGGCAGTTATTAAAAACCCTGTTGGACAGTATTTCCATCACATACATGTCAAAGTCATGAAACCCCCTGTGCTTTTTGAAGTCACCCCAGTTTATAGAAATCCCAACAATTGGTATAGGTCTAAGACGCTTTCACATTTTCCCAGGTGGTAAAAACAATGTGGTATACTTCAATCAGAGTGCACAATTCTGAAAGAACTCTGATGTCTGATGAATTGTGATGAGATGGAGGCAGCAGTTAGTGTGGTTACAGTTCTGGACTCTTGCCCAGAAGGTTGAGTTCAAATCCCAGTTGAGACACCTCTTTTGTTCCCTTCAGGGTGCTTCTGGTGACATTTGACGCATTATTGAATGCACAGAAAACTGAAAAAGTGTGTCCTTTTTCTTGAAGTGACCTAAGCTTTGAATTAAGGTTTTTAAAGGTGACCTGATAAGGTATGGACCTCATTGGGTAAAAGTGCACCTAACGAGCTTTCTTGTGATTGGCAAGTTGCAATGCTTCACTGTACAAGCTGTATTACTGGTCAGAGGTTTAAAACAAATTTGACAACTTTTTGTGGAAGAACATAAGCTATAACTGTAGTATTCTCATTCCAGAAAATGATGTTTTTTCCTGTGAAGAAGGCTCCAAGGCCGAAACGTTGTTTCCTTTCTTCTTTTTTCCAGCATGGAATAAACCTATTACTTATTATTTATTATAGCCTTGGTGCTGTTCACAAGAACTGCTGAATTTTTCCAATGCTTCAAATGTTTTTGGAGTTTGATGTACAAAGTCAAGGACTGTCAACATTTCAGAAGGGGCATTCCAAGAGTTAACTCATGCTTATCTTTATACATCTGTGTGCCATTGATAATTGTATGATGCCATTGTATGATGAAGGACTATATGGGGAAGTGATTCAATTCAAAATTCTCAAAGGCATTGATGAAGTAAACACGGTAAACTTCTTCAGAATGAAAAGTGAAACATGAACTGGAAGTGCCCTTAAAGCCAAAAACAGGAGGCATTTTAAAAGTGTTCCCTTGTTTTGTTTTTTTAAGAAATGGCTGGATTAGCTCTGCAGAAAAATTAACTGCCAAACGAACATGTGCTAAATTAGCCGTCCCTCTCTAATTTATAACCATTCTTAACAATCAGATGTCCTTTCCCAGATAATGATGTTTATCTCCATGTGCAGTAATGTTGTCTTGGCTGTTGAGGTGCTGGTCAAACAGCACATAAGTACCCTTCACAGTTCCACAGGTATTTAGGATATAACTGCAAAGAGACAAAAGACTGAGCAATGTGAATGTTTCGTAAAGTATATCGAAGGTCTACCTGAGAGCAGAGCTTCTGAGATCCCCAATATTTTTGACACTTCAAACAACTTACATTTGTTTTCATTTATACTGCTCAGCCATTTCCAGGAGCAGTCAGCACTCCAGTATATCCTTGTTCAAGGGTACAACAGCAGAGCCTCAAATGGGATGTGAACCCACAACCTTTCAGTTATGAGTCTACAGCCCTGCCATATTCGTCACACTACTGACAAAAGTTATGAATTGATTCTTGAAGCCACTCCTCCTTCCCGTTAAGGTTTTCCACTGTGTCCATCAGTCTAAAGCCAGAATATATCCTGGCACAGACAAACAGCGTGTGAGAGGTGCTGTCAGGTTCCTATGGAGCTGCACAGATGTTGGCTGATGGATATGCTGCAGAGGGAAGGCATCACGTCCTGGTCTTCTCACTTCTTCCCAAGACATGTTTCTTG